AAGAGTAGTGCGTCTGTTTAGCAAAAACGGGAAATTGTGTGGGGTTTTTTTGCTTTCTTGTCTCTCTATGATTGCCCACATTTATTTCCCATCTTTAAGAAAATGACTAAAATGTAAACTACAAAGAGTCTTCTAGAACATAATCCGCCCTCACAGTTTTTAGCATATATTGCTGTGGCATCAAGAGCTAATATGAGACAGTGAGAAATTCATTATCAGTGACATAAGAATTTAGGCTAAATGATCAGTTCATTAAATAGACTCAAAATCTGTCCTATTCACAGGTTAATATAACTGTTTGCTAAAATAAGTTGTTATTGATCACTTATGAGCTCAAGCGGGGTTGTTTTTCCCCCCAAAAAACTTTAGAAATAACTGCCCAAAATAAGGAGCAATATATCTGGTTCTTTAATGAAATACTGTTTTAAAGGTCACTTCTGATCAACTTAAGTCCTTCTGTCCTGCGATGCTTGCTATAATTGACAATATATAAATCAAGTAAATGTATAAGTAAGAATTCATCTTTAAATAAAAAGATGGATTGTAAATGGATTTCAAATCTGGGAATATTTTCCTCCCTCATTTGTCTTAAATGAAACAGCGTTTTTCCATTGAAACGCCATGTTGATGACTGCTTTCTGATCACCTACAAAGATCCGTTCGTAACTTTGCAGAGGACATTATCTTGGAAGTAACTGAAGAGAAATAACATTCTAAATGCAACTTTTATAAAAGCGTGAGAAGCGCAAGTAAATATCCCGCTCATCCACAGTGGCAACACAGAACCCCAGGCTACTTCCAAAGCTACCCAACCTGTACGCTCAGGCTGTTGTTGGAAGTGGATAGAAAAAGAGGTTCAATCCGTATCATTTCAAAGCCACTCTGTAAACAAACAAAGTAGCAGCAAAATCCAGAATTCTGAGGCTTTAAAAAAAAATTCTTTCAGAAGGCAAAATTAGGATAGCCCTTCAGTGAATTCTTCAGGCTCCGTTCCTGGCTAATTTATATAGATGAAGGAGAGCAACCGTGAAGCTCAATAGTTATAGGTAAGAAGAACATGCTCTAGTTTCTCTCTTGTGCATGTATTTTTACTTTCCACTTCCTAGTTGTAGCAGTAGTTTTTCCATTTTTCTCTCAGCATAAGGAAAACACAAAAATGACCAGAAGGAAAGAAGGGGAGCCTATTCTCTTTGGCACATGGTCACGTGAGATGAAGAGAAAGGAGCCTGCTTTGCTGCTCAAAATACAAATATCACAGGCAGCATCTAAATTTACTCTCATTCTGGAGCTTGGTTATTCAGTCCCTTTCTGGTGCTTGGTAACTAAAAGACAAACGCTATACAAACCTCAGCCAAAGCTTCCTTCCCAAAGCTTGGTCCTTCCTTGCGCTGTGCTCCAGGGTCTTCTCTGTCCCAGATTTCTCCAGCTGAAAGAGTTAACTGGACCCTTTTGCTAGCCTTACTCAGCCTAACTATTCTGGATCTTACTAAGAGAACTTCACACCTGAAGCTCAAGTAGAGCCTCGGCAGAAGACTCCTGCCAGACAAATTCCTGGTTTAATTCTGTTGACATCAATGGAGTTACAAGAGAAATAGGACTGGTCCTTTGCCTCTCCTGCTTTTATCCACAAAAGGCAGTTCTATTTTTCTCCATAACAAATACCAGAATACTGAATGTATTGGCTGCCAAGAAATGCAGAACAAACAGACTTACATGTTTTTCCCTTTATTTCCATCATCTGACCTTTGCTTTTTATGTCTTAGGAGCAAGCTGCAACTTTATTTACATGTATAATCTAGATGAAATGCTAGTTTGTGTGTAGAAAACTATGAGGACTTTGATCTTTGAATTTGATTTTCCATTTTTTCAAAGAAAAACATAATGAATTAATGGAAACATTGAAAATGTTAGGTTTTTGGATGATTCTCGTTTCATGTTTCTGATTCTTTCAACCCAGCCTAGATCTTTTTGGCTTCCCTGGAGGCTTGAAGCATTAGTTCATAATCCAAAATATTAACTTGCACCCTAACATGGTAGGTACGCTAATCACTCATCAGTTCAACAGTGACAGATTTTGAATCCCCACAAAGCATTTGACTGCAAAAAAATGTGCAGCTATCCACCTCAAAATTGTACAAAGTCCTAATAATTAAAGAAAGAGAGAAAATGAATGAATGAATGAATGAATGAATGGCTGGGGTAAAACAGGAGAACTCAGATAATGAAGAAGATAGCAAAAAAAAAAAAATCAGGGAAAGGAAAAAGGTGCTAAGACAGAGTCAACAGAAAAAAGTATATTAGCTTAAGAATATGGGAAAATTTTTTATGGTTAGCTCTTTTATAGGTTTTAACCCAAGGTTTCAAACCTACAGCTTTTTATATATTGAATCTTTTCATCCCCAGTCTGATCAATTTCTTTTTTATTTTAAAAATCTCAAAATTTTGACTTTTAGATATCTGCTCAGATTTGGCCTCCTCCCCTAAAATTGACTTTAATATCATAAAAATTACTGCCTAGTTCCTATACATTTAGTTCAGAGAGTGTGATAAGGAAAATTTGACAAGCCAATTACAACAGCATCTGACAGCCTTTTTCTTCTTCAGTAACACAGATGCCGTGCCTGGTTTTCCACTGAAGGCTGCATTATTTTTTTGAGACTTAACTGAGAGAATAAATTCAATCTTCTCTAGTTGTAATTCTTCATATGTTCACATGAAATAGGAATATTTTGTCAACAATAAGTTTATAATTAGTTGTAGACAGCATTCACACCTTTTTTTTCTATAGCTCCATTGTTCTTTTTAAGGTGAAGGAAGATGATCAATGCGTCCAGAAAACAAGCATGATAGCTGTGTATGTTGTAAAGCAATTTCAGTTTAACTACATGTAACGCTGAAAGTAACTTTTTTTCAAAAAGTTCCTGAGATAAGGAGAGCACTCTCAAAACCAAAAGAGAGCAGGGAACATCTCTGTATCTTTTAAAAACTCTCAGAAGTGTTTAATAGACCTCCTGTCAGTCTGTCAGATACTGAGCTTCCCTAGACAAATGAAACTATCCCAGTTGCGCAGTACTTGTGAAGCAAGAATGTATGTAACCTGTTTTCTCAAAACACACATGCTACAAATAAAGATATCAAGTGTACTGACATTACAGCTTAAAATAACATCCTGTGCGATGCCTATATACTGTGCTGTTAGCTCAATTTTGGATTTTCCAAACATTGGGTTTGCTTTCAAAGAATAATGCTCCAGTTCCTGTACAATACATGAATATACTGGCTCCTAAGCTGGGAAACAAAGTTAAGAATGTGTGGGTTTTGGCTTCAAAATTAGCCATGCTTTAGTAATCTAGTATACTAAACTGTTTCTTATTAATGTATCATGCAAATACTCTCCAGTCCTCCCGCAAGTCTGACACTTTCCCAACATATCAATAGCAAATGTTCTGTGAAATGCAACTTTTCCGATGTAGGCCACCCTGACTTTCATTGTGATCTCAATCCACCATCCAAATCTTAATGGCACATGCAGATTAGGGTGTTTTTTTGCTTCTTGATTTTTTTTTAAATAAGGAAAACAGTATTGGAAAAAAATGTTTCTTGCTGGTTTGATACATCAGGTTTGCTTTTCTTCAGTAAAGAGCCAGTTGCTTTTTTTTTTTTTTTCCTCATTACAACTGAACAGAGTTAAGCTTGTTGTGTTTACTGAGGTAGAATGTAAGGTAATGTAGGGAGAAGGCCCTCATTAATGTAACTATTTGCCTTACAACATGATTTTGAAGTGCATCAGCTTAAACCTAGCTCTTTCCTGTCTTAATACAGACAAACCTAGCTCTTTCCTGTCTTAATACAGACAAGAGGGAGAATTTACCCAGGGAATTTTGTTGCATGATAAATGAGCTTCACAAAGGCCCTAAAACATCCATCTCCTTCTTCCAGGGCATTTTTTTTTAATGTTGCTATTGCTAGCTCACCTAGCAGTGCCAGCCAGGATTAGATCCCTCCCTACACAGTAGATATGACTAAGGGAACACATGGTAGTGTCATATCAAGACCTGAAAGCTATTTTTAAGCCAGATAGCTGGGGAGCTAGCAGCAGAAGACAGCAGGTTAATCTGCCCTGCTATTCAAGTGGTTTTTGTGGTTTACCCTGAGCTGACAGCTGCCCCACCTAGATCGCTACCAGAACCAAGCCAGCTCTCCCCCTCTCTCCATATCAAAGCCGCCCTTGTACGCGATACTGCAGTCTGCAGCACAGATACGATCACGGAGCTTCTGGTCCAAACAGAATACAGTTTAAAACTACATACGAAGGGTAAGGACGGAGGATATATAGTCATTTATGATTATTTTTCATATACTTAACATTTTACATCTTTTGCACCGTAATTAAAACCATAGTGTTTTCTAGTCTCTTTTGTCCTCAAGTCGTATCATCTTTCAGAGGCTTTTCCCAGGCACTATGGCAAAAAGGAACCTTGAGGAATGATTTCAAAAGGATAACTTACTCTTAGTATTACATGTCATTCATTACATTACATTCATTGTAGTATTCAAAGTACAGCTTTTTCTCTCCCCTCTGTTTTTAACATCATCTGCAGAGATACACTGTAATTTTTCCCCAGTAAAGCATACAGTTGGTTATCATTTCACAACGGGAATAGAGCAGCAGAGGGAAAAAAAAGCAGTGTGAGCGTGAGCTGAGTCAGTATGACGGCTGTGCCAGGGTGACTCAGTGGCTAAGCAGAGGAAAGAGCCCAGGGAAGTGAGAGCAGAGACATAAGAGGGAGCAGAGCAAAGGGCTCTGGAAGGTCAGCTAGGGCTGGATGCTGCCCTAGGACAGAGGACAATGTCCTGAGAGGACAATGTGCTGAGAGACACAGGTCACGAAGACCATCATAGCAGACATGCTTCAGCTGAACTGTGTGCCAGAACGCAGGTGCTGTGTTTCAGGGCCACTTGCGGACAACACAAACATTTCATCCCCTCCCTCTTTACACATCGATGGGAGACGCGACTCCCTTGGCACACAAATAAGTTACGGAGACCCGCTGCAGGGTTCTGCACTATCAAGTCTCAAAGAATTACTGAACTTTTTTGTCTGCACGCTTTTAGATGGAGATCTTGATGCTAGAAGATAATGAACAATGATGCTTTGGAAAGGTGCGGGCTACTGCCCAGCCAAGTTTGCATCAGTAATGGTTTGATCAAGGAAAAAAAAAAGTCTCAGCGAAGTAGTTTGGGATTTGACCCAGGACTTCCAAAGAAATGACTTTTGAGATATTTGACTTATTTTGTTCTTAACAAATTGGTACAATACCCAAGGCTTCTTGTTGGAGACGACACCAAATTGTTACAGTTAAAAATGACATAAATGTCTACATACTCAAACATAATAAGAGATGCAACAGAAAAGTGGAGGGGGAAAACCAGCTTTGCTTATACTTATTTGGATTATGCCTTTTTCTAACACTCCCCCACCCCCCACCCCCCATTAAAGCTACTGAAATATTTAGAAAATTCAGGAGATTTATGGGGTTGTTTATACAGTAGATAAAAACAACTGATCCAAATGCCTCTATATTTTAAAGCCCCAAGGTAGAGGAATATTTTCTATATTAAAAATAACCAGGTCCTCTAGGTCCTATTTCCTACAGAAAATTAAAAGCTAAAATAATTATTTTTTAAAAATTGATTTCCTTTAACATATGTACAAGATTAAGTTGTTACAAACAGAAACGCTAGCTATTCTGAAACATTTATAAGGAATACCTGAGCTGCTTATTCTGGCAGCTTCCATAAGAAAGGGGATCAGTATGGTATCCGTTTTGTTTTGGGAGACACTTTAAGAAAAGCAATAAGAACAAAGACCTGGATAAAATGAATTCAGAGTAAACTGCAAAGCATACGTCTGCCTGAGTTCCTGAGTAAAGAAAAGAAACTATACACAGACTAAAAGACTAATATAAACTTCCTTTCCAAATGATGAATCTGAATCATTAATTGAAATAAACAGGCTGCAATTCTAAAACTTCCTATTTGCAGTGCAGCTATACCTGGCTTAATCCACTACATGCTCTTAAATTTTCCTCGTCTTCAAGTTTATACACATGCCCTCTAGCGAGCTACCTAGCAACTGCAGCTTGCTGCCTGGAGAGTCGTGATCTCAAATTTTAAGTCCGAGATACTTCTTTACACTCCCGTGCACTGTATTTTTTCCTCTCTCAAAGTTATTTGATGTGTTTTGAGCTCAAGCCTTCTAAATCATGTAATTCTCAGTGGATCTCTATTTTGAGGACAGGAAATGAAATAATCTAATGTCCTGAATTAGGGAAAACACATATCTACTCCAGTGAGCAACATTTAAAGCAAAGATAAACTTTGGAACTACTTAAGTCCTATTGCTTCAGCTAACTATCAAAGGCAAGGCTCAGTGTTTCAAGAACTCTTTCATAAGAGTTTTCATATGACTTGGAAAAAAAATTTCTTCACTTGAGAAATAAATGCACATGTTATTGATTCAGAAGCTGTAATAATTATATTAATATGCACAGTACTGCTATGACTTTTGGGATCTGCTTTTCTGTATGGTCACACTGCCTATGTGCCACTTACTGAAGCACACTGAGGCATATTCCTTGTGAAGAATATCTGCACATCTGTGAATGTCTCCTACGATGAGAATCTTCGCAAGGATCTTCATGCCCTTAAAGATCGGATCGTCTGAGTCCCACTGAGTGAACAAATATCGCATCTGCTGAGGAAACAGTGCTCACAGCAGGCTTATACCATGCGAATGCTTGGCTGATGGATATCTAACCTTCATCTTCGGGGGGCTCTCATGAAATACATCAAGGTATTTCATGAGTCACATGTAGCTTATGTGCTATAGGCGCGCAGCTCTCACTTTAAAACGACGGTCTCATTCTGGCTAGGTAACTCAGGTCTCAATCAGCAGCTCTGCTGTTCACATGAGTAAAGTTTAGCATATACTTAAAGCTTTACAGGATTGCATTCAAATATAGGATTATTCAGAACTTTCCACAGTTCCTTTTTGCTCATCTGTGCCCCTCTAATGAATCATTACCCACATCCTTGAAGCGACTTACTTTGTCAAAATATATAAGGTTTCGCATGATACTAATAAAGCCCAATGCATATAAAAAGAGTAATAATTACTGTTATTGCCAATAGCATATAATAATACGTCCTATTCACTTTGTACAAGTTACAGATGCACAGAACATGTGATTCTTATTTTATCATAATGATTATCATTCTCCATAATTAATAAAAATTGCACTGTAATTATTGTAAAGGCAACAACAAAAAAGATACAGAGAAGTATTAATCCTGTTTCTCTAGATGCACACAGAAAATGACATAACACATCAGACAAATTAGCTGCTGACATACAGACTAAATATTACATTGGGAACGTCAGGCTCATCTGAAAAGTATAAAATGCCTTCTTGAAATGTTAATTGAATTTTTTTTGTGACAAATGAGGAATAGTTGTATCCAAGTTATGCAGTACAACTGATTGTCATTCATTACTTTGCCATACTACCAACTTTAAAATCAAAAACAGCAGATCAAACATATTTTCCAATCTCTAGGCCTTGGCACATTTTTGAGACAGTTAAGTCTTGACCCATGCACTTACACAAAGTCCTTCTTCAGCTATGCAAGCCTCAGCTATGCGCTTCGCTGGTAGCTTAAACATATTTCAGCCTGCTTGTATGGGCTCATCTAATTAAGAAACGCATCAGTCCCCAAATCCCCTTTTCCATAGGGAACAGCTGCTGGATTATAAATATGGTTTTAATGTAAATCAATCTCCTACATGTAGGAGTTTACGTAGGAGTTACAACTGCCGTCTGAAAACCTCATCATCCACACCGGAGTAGGAGTTGGAATTTCTCCATGTTGGGCAACAACAAATGTTCTTCATATGAAGATGGTTATCTGGACTCAGCAAGGTAGTTACTCCAGGGGAAATTATGACCGACAGCATAACACAGTCTGGTTAGTAATCCAAGTGACATTTTGGAATATGCAAAAGATTACATAATAATGTCTGGACTGGACCAGACCAAGACAAATCAGACTCCAATGGGAACTTTAGTGGCTAAAAGAGCACTAAATAATCTCAGGATTCATCCACCTACAGATTCAAGAGGAAAATAACCCCACCCTCTTCCTTATGTCCTCTTGATCTGGTTCACAGTTTCGTCTTTGGTTGACGCCTGTCTCTTAGGCCAGTGTTTAGCCTGCCTCTTTAGCCAATGTTATATATCAACAAAATACATTATTCATATCAATAAAATGCATTTGGTAGCAACAAAGTCCAATTCTAAGCAAATACGGTCCCTTTCTATGCACAGTCTGTCATAAACAAAGGAAAAATCCCATGAAGTTTTACTATTCATATCAGAAGTCGTAATAACAGGCAGATTTTTATTTCCAAAACTTTAGTTAGAAGTAGAGATCAGGACATGCGTGGGGAAGTACAATTACACTTATATTTGGAAGAACAAATATAACTTGTGGGGAAGGAAGACTGTCTCTCCTCTATCGACAATGGTTTGCAGAACTTTCTGCAGGTATTCCTACCTAACCAGAAAGCTTCTCACCCTACTTCTGGAAATCTTGCTAAGGTATACTTGAGAGCTGGTCTGCGCACACATGATTTTTACAAACATGTATTTTTTTTTTTAAATGAGGCCTAATGTCTTACCTTCTCACTTCAGCAAGAAGCAGAGCTCTGGAATTCCTTGTTGTCTCCTTATCAGCCTCCCACTGGGTACTGTTCTCTCCATGCTCTTGAGGCTTTACTCGTGATTATAACCTCACCTAAACATATAATCATGCAACGTAATATGTCAAAATAATTTTTTATAAACCACTAAATAAAAAGGCACAGCAACTACTACTGTTCATCTCTCCACTACATAAAACCTTGTACTCCATCCCTTCTCATTAATTTATCCTTAAAATTGTTCCAATAAAAAAAGATCACACTTTTACTGACAGGAGCCCTGCTTTCATGGTTCCTGGTAATTTGCTAGCACCTTTTCCCTGCTGCTGTAAAACACTTTTATAGACAGCAGTAATTAAGTGCCAGAATACCCTGAGCCAGCTAAACATTATCATCTTGGTAACTATATTAACTCAACCTCAACAAGTTAGACACTTTTGTCTGAATGCCTGTGTTTTTTGTTTATCTGTGTCTAATTTAAAGAATTTTGAGTGTAGGTTTCAGAGCTCCTGAGCCCCTGCAGTTCACCCTACGTTGCAGTGTGTTGTTCCACAGCTCTGACAACCAACACATTTGAGGAGAGCAATCACAAGTGCAAATTCTGAGTTAGGGTTACATTTGAAGTCACAGTGAGAAGAAAGAACTTATGGCTCATCCTCTCCTCCTGAAATGATTATATTATGTTGCCCTCTGCATTTGATTTAGCCTTTTTACATATTTTAACTGCTCGAAGGCAGATAGGGGTTTAGTTTCAAATCACCTGGTCCTTAATAATAGAGATACATCTTCTGAAAAATTAAGAGCAATGTTAGAACTTTTGCCCCTACCCCCTCAACTCTTGCAGAAATTGTTTTGCTGCTTAGAGGCTTAGCGATGGCACTGGCATGAGCTCACATACTGCTCTCCAAATAAGAGAGGTCATAAAGATAAGTGCTGTGCATCTCCAGATTAGGACACAATAACCGTCCTACCAAAGTCTTATGGTGTAGGACAGGAACGTCTCTGAAAAACCCTTCCAGGCAATAAAGGATAACCAAAAGCATTTTAAGAAAAGTTAAGCAGAGCTCTGAAGACAGAACAAGAAAGCAGTCTACTATATGAAAACTGTTCTGTGTCATAAATTTAATCCAATACCTTGCATTCAGAATTAGCTGCCCTACTCTTACTCTGTCAAAGTACAGGCAAGCACATTCTACTCACCTTCACTGAAAGCCAGCAATAAAGCTGTATGTGTCTCTGTGCAGCTTCAAAACAGATTTCACATCATTGTTTTAAATAGCAAGAGAACTGTATGGAAAGATGTCTGTATTTTCTTAATAGCTGTAACCACACTACATAGCACATGTCAAAATTCTGAAAAGAGAACAGATTCCTGACGCTTTGTACAATGTATATAGTTTCTTTGCTTTGATGTCTCTGCTTCTTTATTGCATTAAATTATCTGGATTTAAAAAGACAAAAAAAAGAAGGTTGTCTTTTGCCTTATTACTGAACTGTCAAACACTATTTGGGCTAAGAGAACAGCCAGGGCCTCAAGGACAATTTGGGGAGTGGAAGAAGGAAAACAGTTCAGTATCCTGCCTATTTGCAGAGTTAGGTATTTTAGCCACAAAGATTTCAGGGGAATCACATTGTTCTAAAACTTACTGACTGTGGCTTTTTTTTTTTTTTTTCCCACTTACAAAGAAAGTGATCCTACTCTACTATTCCCTAAGGGAGTCTAGCACCTCTCTCCCACTATCTTATCCTGCAGTTATCCTACCTCTGCTGGGTTCCTCAGAGGGGCTTTTTGCACTGCAAGGTGCAATGGTGATGGCAATCATCTCTGGTCACCGCTCTGGACATGGGGGAGAGATTTATTGCATGCTTTTTTCCTCTTAAAGACAAGCATGACAGAGAGAAAAGACACATTTCTCTTTTTTTAATAACTAGGGGAAAATGCTGGCCAACAGGAATTATATTCCTTCCACTGACCTTTTTCTTTACCTGGAGCATCTTTAAAATCAACACCAGCTGTTGCGGAAGAGAATTGTGGTGCCCTAAACAGAGATTTATGATTTCAGGAGAAGGAATAAGCAAGAGGAACACAGAAACCTTAGAGAGCTAAAAGATTCTCTTGCCATGGCAGAAAGCTCTACATCAAATACAACTGTCTGCAGATGAGCTGAAAAAACGCTCCTTCAAATCAGTCATGCAATTGTAGATCTGGATAAAAAGAGTAGCCCTTTGAAGTCAAAGGCAAAACTCCAGATGACTTTAGCCTGGCCACAATTTCAGCTTTGGATTCAAATTTGAATACAAATTTAACAAATCACTAGACATAATATGGCTCCGTTTACTATAAAATAGGCATAGGGAGAGAGAAATGACTTTGCCAGATCAGCATCCTGTGGAAGGGAACCAAG